GCTGACAATCTGTAGTTCCTGATCAGGTGGTAACAGCAGAGATGCTGAAAGACACACACACACACACACACACACACACACACACACACACACACACAGTAGGAATGAGCACCTCTTTATTTTTTTCCCTTCTTCTTTTATATAGTAAAAAAGAAACACATCCTCTTGGCAGCTTAATCTTTTCCAGCATGGATAAACATTCTCAGAATAACTTTGTTACTGGTCACAGTGCTCTACACTCCTTATTATACTACTTGTAGTTAGTTGTAGTTAGTTATTTCCTGACAAGCATACAAATATATATATTTAAACTTGCAGAACATTCTTTTATCTTCTTAAGATGGCAACAAGCACACAGTTCAAAGAGTTCATAGTTTCTCACAGAACCCCTTTGTTTTTGCTAAGCACAGTGAAACTTAACACTTTGTGTGCGTGAGCACACAATGACTTCTGAGGACTTATCATCCAATTTTTTTTTGAGATGGAAACAGTATTGAAAATCATTTTCCTTGCTTTTGTCCATAGTTTTGAAATTTGTTACTCTGACTCTTCCTCTTTGCTTTATTTTTGCATTATTTTGAAAATGGTATTTAGCATATAAAATTGTTTCTCATGTATATGTTTGTAAAACTTCAGGGCTTGGTAGTTTATTCACTTCTTTATGACATAAACTTTATTTTTTTCAGAGCAATTTTTCACTTACATAGTTTATTAGTCAGTGTTCTCTAGAGGAATAGCATCAAGAGGAAGTATGATTATGAAAGGGGACTTTTAGATTGGCCTACTTGACCCAAAGCTGGATGTCCACAGTGGCCATCTGCAGCTGGAAAGTTTTTGGAGTAGTTGCTCAGAGTCCAAGAGGCTGAAGTGTCAGAACAAGAGGGATCAATGGTACTTCCCTAATCCAGACCTAAGGTTTTAGAAACTCCCTGGAGAATCACTGGCAAGAGTCCACTTTGGGAGACTGAGGAGGCAGAGTCTGATATCCTCAGGCCACTGCAGCAGCCATCAAGAACCCATTGAGAAGAAAGGAGCGTGCTCTGCTGCAGCTTCCTTCTTGTTCCAACTTTTGTTCACCCAAGACACCGTCCTATTAGATGGTGCTGCCTAGCTTGAGGAGGTTCTCCAGTCTGGTTCACTGTTCCACATGCCAATAATTTGTAGACACACTGTTCCACATGCCAATCATTTATAGACACACCCATAAGGTTATTAATCATTGGCATCATTAATCCAATCAAGGTGACAATTAAATGTGACATTACTCATAGTATGGAATACCCCTTCTCTCCAGCTGATAGTCTCCACTGTTTTCAACGTATTGCATTGGTGTAGAGTGTTTGTTGGTTACTAAACCATTGTTGAACATTTGATAAGGAGAATGGATGAAGCAACATGTTATGATAAGCCAAAGTTCATTCTTTACCTTAGTGTTCCTCCTCTGTGTGATGTGGTTGTGTGTGTTACGTAGTTTACAAGATAATGTCATACAGAAGAGTTTCACTGCTCTGTTCATCACTCCTCCTCATTGCTCCCTCCCTCTCTGCTCCCT